ATTTTATGTACCGTGAACGCCACACTTTAATCATTTATGATGATCCCTCCAAACAAGCACAGGCTTATCGCCAAATGTCTCTTCTATTACGAAGACCACCAGGTCGCGAAGCTTATCCCGGAGATGTTTTTTATTTACATTCGCGTCTTTTGGAAAGAGCCGCTAAATTAAGTTCTCAGTTAGGTGAAGGAAGTATGACTGCTTTACCAATAGTTGAGACCCAATCAGGAGATGTTTCAGCTTATATTCCTACTAATGTAATTTCTATTACAGACGGCCAAATATTCTTATCTGCCGATTTATTCAATGCTGGGATCAGACCCGCAATTAATGTGGGTATTTCCGTTTCCAGAGTTGGATCGGCGGCTCAAATAAAAGCCATGAAACAAGTAGCTGGTAAATTAAAATTGGAATTGGCACAATTCGCAGAATTAGAAGCTTTTGCACAATTCTCTTCAGATCTCGATAAAGCCACGCAAAATCAATTGGCAAGAGGTCAACGATTGCGCGAGTTGCTTAAACAATCCCAATCAGCTCCTCTTACTGTGGAAGAACAGATAATAACTATTTATACTGGAACGAACGGTTATCTTGATTCATTAGAAATTGAACAGGTAAGGAAATTTCTCCTTGAGTTCCGGGCTTATTTAAAAACGAATAAACCTAAATTCAACGAAATCATATCTTCTACCAAGACATTCACTGGGGAAGCAGAAGCCATTTTGAAGGAAGCTATTCAGGAACAGATGGAACTCTTTTTACTTCAGGAACAAGTAGAAAAAAATTGATTAAAATTTTCATACCGTTAAAAAATTTCTATCATTAGTCTCTTAAAAAAAAGAATCATAAAGATAATAAATTCACAATATATTTTTATAAATATACGAATTCAATTAATATATATGCAATTGCAATCAATTCAATATGTAATCAATTTGCGTCCAATAGGATTCGAACCTATACCAAAGATTTAGAAGACCTCTGTCCTATCCATTAGACAATGGACGCTTTTCTTTTTTTCTTTCCCTTTTCACGAAAATTTCGTGAAAAGGGAAAGAAAAAAGAATTCTATACTAAAACTAAATGAAGAAATTTACTAAATAAAAAATAGAATATAAGCGGGTAGCGGGAATCGAACCCGCATCGTTAGCTTGGAAGGCTAAGGGTTATAGTCGACGTTTATGAATGAACGTCTCTAATTCAAAACTGAACGTGAAACTTTTGTTTCATTCAGCTCCTTTACAGAATAATTTAAGAGATAGATGGAATACATGAAAAAAAGAATCCATAACATCTATGTCAGCCTTTCGGTATGAATACAATTAACGTTGCTTTTTAGATGATCCCTATAGAAAAGGAGTATTCGAACAATCTCTTTTTTTCTAGTTACTTCGTTCTCTATTTCTATTTGAGAGAATCTTTAGGAAAAGAATAAAATTTCCGTCGAGCTAAAAAAATATGTTGATGTTTCTAGTAAACTAAAAAAATCATTTCATAGCTATTTTGCTTCAATCTCTCCTATACAAAACAAATAATAAAAAAATTGGAAGATTTAGTTACGATTGGAAACGAATTTTATATATCTTTCTCCCTGGATCCTTTACTTATATTCAAAAATTGGGATTCTGGATCCAATTGCAAAAACTTATGTTTCATAATTTTAGAATCAATTCTAAATTGTATACAAATTATGATAATGTATATTATTCCTCGAATTGCTCCTTGAGAGGTATAAAGGATTAAATACCTTTAAGTAAGAAATAAAGTTTTTGATCGTGATATGAATCACGGAAGGGACCCCTTAACTATTACTATTAAGGGGTCGATAGAACGAATCGCACTTTTACCACTAAACTATACCCGCTACAATACTATTATTGTATATAAAAAGATCTTTTGTCAATATCAATACAGGAAGGGGAATCAGTCCTAATTATGAAATAGGTGCAGAATTTTATGATAAATACAGTGTTCACATGTTTCGTAAAGGGCCCCCTAATGAAATTTAGAAAAGGGGGCGAATCTCATTTTTGGATTTTGTTGAAGGTATTTTGACAGATAGATCTCGACAAAATTACTAAACGAAATTCATAAGACAAAAATGCATTGTGCAAGAATCCATAGTTCTATTTCTTTTTTTAGATACGTTAACTGATTAATTCGTATGATATACGATCAAAAAGTTATTTTTATTTTTGTTTGATCGTATTAAAATGTTTTCCTTAATTACAAGTTTCTTTCAAATCTGATACAGAAAAATAAATCATTGTGATTCATGGGAAAAAAGAGCCGTGCCAGTACCTAGCTGGACTCTGGTTGGATAAAAAAACAAACTAAAAAAAAAAGAAAAGAAAAAATTTTATATTGCGTATATATAGAATATAACTTTAGTATAGGTATAAGAAAATATAACTAATATTTATGAGTTAATATAGAATTATGAATAGTAATTAAATAAAATGATAATCAAATAGAAAAAAGATAGATAGATAAGATATATCAAATGACGATCAATATCAAATAAGATATATAGAAGGCTTTTTTGAGCCCTACTTTTTGTTCTTTTTGTTTATCCGAGGTATCATAAGCATAATAATTCAATTTTTTGAATTGGGGAGAGATGGCTGAGTGGACTAAAGCGTCGGATTGCTAATCCGTTGTACGAATTTTTGTACCGAGGGTTCGAATCCCTCTCTTTCCGTTTATTGATGATTTGGCATTTTTTTCTTTTGAACTTCTGGAATTTCTTTTTTTTTTTATTCCCTGTTTGTTTCATTTTTTACTAGTTAAAGATGTAAAATAGATAGAAAAACGAAAAATATTTAAAAATCCAGCATAAGTACGGAAAAGAACAAAGATTTTCTTATTCTTCACGTCCAGGATTACGTCCTGGATCATTAGATAGGAATCCGAAGATGAAAAGAGAAACAAAGAATATCACTATTGTGTAAACAAATAGTTTTAGAGTAAGCATTACAAAATCTCCAAGATAATAAAAAAAAAAAAACGACAGAGAAAGAGAATAGATTCTCTTGTATTTCATATTATGTTTCCTTTGATACTCAGTTTATAAGAAATGAAGTTATTTCAAAAAAACTAAAAAAATTGATTTGTAGTAAGAGTTGAGCCTTTGTTTTACCATTACCAACAATTCAATTTTCTTTCATATCCACAAGATCCACGTATTGGTGGTAGACTCAAATCGAATAATAGAATAATATAATTTTTATTTTTGAATGGAAAAAAAGGAAATGATGAGATGATCCATATTTTTATTGTCTATCCAACAATTTCAAGATTTATAATCACGGATTCACACTGTAAGACTTATCTTATTTTTAAAAATGTTAAAATTTGAGTTTTCTAATAAATTCTGACTTTTTTTTCGGACATTATTCAAATTAAAGATCTTATCGAAAACTTACAGCAGCTTGCCAAACAAAAGCTAAGAGAAAAAAGAGTAAGGGTATTACTGGCATAAAATCTACAATTGGATTCAAAAAAGCGTAAGCTTCTGGTAATTTCCCCAAGAAAAAACTACTTGAATAAAGGGCAGAGTGAATACAAATACAGACCGAGCTAAAGATATTAAGCATAACAAAAATGTTTTTCTTTAAGAAAATGAATTGTCTTTTTTCTTTTGTTTTTAATTCTAATTTTGATTGTATTTTTTTTATTATTATATAGATGATTTATTCTATATATGATATGATTTATTCTATATATGATATGATTTATTATATAATTTATTATTATTATTATCCATTTTTGTATTATACTTTTATATTAACAATGAAATATAAAATCAAAATTTTTTGATTTTATTTAGATAGAATAGAGAATATATAGAATAGAAAATGAATAATTTGAAAATCTAAAAGGATAGAATATAAAATATTGAATTCCTATTTATAGATATGAAGATTACTAAATCAGTAATAAAACGAAAAAAAAAGATGAATCAACTAAGATCAGACCCCCACTTTTTTTGATTTGAACTGAATAAGTTCAAACAATATCTTAATTGAATTCTATGGAATGATCAATAAATTTCGTTTAATTCGATATCGATACATATCAAAATTCTAGCAACAATTTATTCTATAGAATAAATTTCGAAGTGTAATTTACGAACAACTCATAATACTATTTATGTCGAATCAAAATGGGGCGTGGCCAAGCGGTAAGGCAGCGGGTTTTGATCCCGTTATTCGGAGGTTCGAATCCTTCCGTCCCAGATCATATCTATTCAAGATATATACCTATTTCAATACAAATTGTATATCCGAATAAAGATTCCTTTTTTTTTTTTTAGAAATTGATTTTTTTATATTTAATTTACAAACCATGAAAATAGAATATTGACTTAATTTCGACTTCTTGACTTTAGAAATAAAATTGTATAGTCAGAAAACCTAAAACCTAGAAGTGAAAAGTATATATTATTATCTATTGATTGAGTCAATGACTATGCACGATTTCAAAATGGAATCAATTACATACCAGATTGAAACTAAAAAATAATGTTATGGTAAAACCTCGTTTGAAACGATGTAGTAAAAAGCAGCGTGGGACTTGAAAAACGTGACTATATTAGCTGCGGAGTCTTACATGCCCTATTTTCTTTATACTATCTAGTTTCTAGTATCTAGAAATAGGGATCCTCGATTTTTCGATTTGAGTGATCTATTTATTCCAAAATTCGGTGCTCAACCTACCTCATATTAGGAAAAAGTCAAGAAATAAACTAATTTGGTGCATAAATACCGTAGACCAAATGAGCCTTTTTACTTCTTTGTTTTTATTCTATTCATTCATTTTTATATTAGAAATAGTTATTGATTTGATATTCAAATATAAATGATACATTTGTTCAATACTTCTTCGCTCATTATTATTATAAGTTATTAATCCTCGCAATTCTATTTCTATACTTAAGTCGATAAAAAATGATCATCGAATGACTATTCATCTATTGTATTTTAAAGTGGTTCAATCCAATGTTGCTGTTTAATAGGGATTTAGAATATAGGTGTGGTTTAAGTAAATCCCTAGATAGTTTTGATCCTATTGAAGATAGTTTTTATCCTATTGAAAATAACGGTGTAAATGAAGACCCATCTATTTTAACTGATGACCCATATATTTTAACTGATGACCCATCTATTTTAACTGATGACTCATCTATTTTAACTGATGACCCATCTATTTTAACTGATATGGATAATGACATTCATAGTTGGATTGAGAGTTATCTTCGTTATTTAGATGATAGTGACAACTACAATGCCAATATCAGTGACTTGAATAGTTACATTTTAGATGATACAAATGATAGTGATTTGTATGAAATAGAAAATTCTAATGATACAAATGATAGTGATTTTATCCTGATGATCCAAAAGATACTTCTTATACTGAAAATTAAAGCATTTATGGGTTGAATGCGAAAGTTGCTTTGGATTAAATTATAAGAAATTTTTTAAATCCAAAATGAATATTTGCGAACACTGTGGAGATCATTTGAAATGAGCAGTTCAGATAGAATCGAACTTTCGATTGATCCAGGTACTTGGAATCCTATGGATGAAGACATGTTTTCTCTGGATCCCATTGAATGGGACAACCTTACTACGGAAGACGAACCTTCTACGGAAGACGAATACGACTCTTCTACGGAAGACGAATACGAATCTTCTACGGAAGACAAACCTTCTACGAACCTTCTACGGAAGACAAACCTTCTAACGAACCTTCGACGGAAGACAAACCTTCTAACGAACCTTCGACGGAAGACAAACCTTCTAACGAACCTTCGACGGAAGACAAACCTTATACGGAAGACGAATCTTCTCCGGAAGACGAATCTTCTCCGGAAGACGAATCTTCTCGGAAGACGAATCTTCTCCGGAAGACGAACCTTCTACGGAAGACGAATACGACTCTTCTACGGAAGACGAACCTTATATAGATCGTCTTGATTTTTATCAAGAAAGTACAGGATTACTGGAGGCGGTTCAAACAGGCACAGGTCAACTAAATGGTATTCCTGTAGCAATAGGTATTATGGATTTTCAGTTTCTGGGGGGTAGTATGGGATCCGTAGTGGGTGAGAAAATAACTCGGTTGATTCGAATATGCTACCAATCAACTTTACCTCTTATTATAGTATGTGCGTCCGGAGGAGCGCGTATGCAAGAAGGAAGTTTGAGCTTAATGCAAATGGCTAAAATATCTTCTGCTTTATATAATTATCAAATCAATCAAAAGTTACTCTATGTAGCGATACTTACATCGCCTACTCGGTGGGGTAACAGCTAGTTTTGGGATGTTGGGGATATCATTATTGCCGAACCAAAAGCTTACCTTGCATTTGCGGGTAAAAGAGTAATTGAACAAACGTTGAATAAGGAAGTGCCTGAAGGTTCCCAATCGGCTGAAGTTTTTTTCGAAAAAGGCTTATTGGATGCAATCGTATCACGTGATTCTTTAAAGGACTTTTTAAGTGAGTTATTTGAATTCCATGGTTGCTTCCTTGGATTGAAAATGAAAACTAATGCAGACTATCATTTTATTTATGTTTTTCAATTTTTAACTTTTCATTAATATCATAAATGCATATCATAAAGAAATCTTCTTATTATATAAAAATGATATAAAAAGAAAATGAGAACACACAAGAGTAAAGTAATAGATAAGAATAAAAAATAAAGATTAATTATCATGGACATATTTCTTGTAGAAATAGACAGCAAATAAATCCAGTTATTTCGTTCGACATTCCTTATATTTAATTTAATATTCAAATTATTAAAATTAACGATTTTGATTCTTAATAAATCTTATTCCATTTTTTTCTTATGGGTTTATTCTCTTTATATACTCCATATAGAATATATATATATATTCATATCTATTTATTTAGCCTCTACATAGTAGAAATTAAAAAAATAGACTTAGTATAAGTCTATATGAATTCTAGTGATTATAGACTTTCTTTATTCCAATATAAGAAGAATCCAAATATTAATCTAACAATCAACAAAAAAGAACAGGTACAAATATGAAATTGAGGTACCCCATTTTATGATAAACTTACCATCCCTTTTGTTCCTTTAGTAGGCCTAGTATTTCCGGCAGTTGCAATGGTTTCTTTATTTCTTCATGTTCAAAAAAACAATATTTTTAGATACCACAAGTTTCATATATTTTTGAAAATAGGGTTAAATTTTTAGTTTGGATTTGTTCTTTTGTTCCATTTTTGAATAACTATTGCCTTCAATAAAAAAAAAAGAAAAGTACTAATATTATATAAGCCTTAATAAGATAAGGAGGTTTTCATATAACAACATAAATATTAATCTAACAATCAAGAAAAAAGAACAGGTACAAATATGAAATTGAGGCACCCATTTTATGATAACGTTATGTGTTTTTAGTGGGCCTTGTATTAATTGTAATGTCTGCTTTATTGGTTCATGTTCCAAAAATTCATTAGTTGGGGGTCAGAAAAACTTGGTTGTCGTTCACAAGACGCATGGCTTGACATTGTACCGGGTCCCGAAAAATTATCAATTTATTCTGGGCGTCTTTCACTCTTTTAGGTTCATTAGGAGTTTTATATATTTCAGTTTCCAGTTATTATGGGAGGATTTTTCTCTTTCATTTCGTCCGAATTTGTCATTCCTTTTTTGACACAAGGAGTCACGCTGACTTTCTATGGAATTGCCGGTCTCTTTCTAAGTTTACATTGGTGGCTTCTAATTTTTTGGAATGTGGGGAGTGGCTATAATTTTTCGATAAAAAAAATCGAATGGTATGTTTTTTTCGTTACGGATTTCCTGGAACATATCGTCGTATTTTTCTCCGAGTTCGTATGGAAGATATTCAGTCCCTCATACTACAAGCTAACCCAGAACCTAGTAGTGGTGTCCTTTATATGCAAACCAGAGAACAGGGGACCATTCCCTTGACTCCTGTTGATGATAGGACCTCCATGCAACGTTATACAAAAAAGCTTGGGACTTGTCCAGATTCTTGAGTGTACCAATGGAAACTCGTTCCATATTCTTGAGTTACCAATGGAAATCGCTGTATCCAAACAATTTCATTTTTAATTCATAGCTTTTGAAACACTTTTTTTCTTCTTCATTCAAATTGGCAATGGCTTATTTCGTTTCTTATTTGATTTCTGTATTCTTTTGGATTCTTTTTTCAAATTGAAGGAAAAAGAAACTAACCTCCGAATTACAAATAAAAAGAATAGCTTCTCAATTTCTATGAAAAATTATAAATGATATATTCTAGGCTAAGCTCTATTACTTGTATTTACTTGTAATAGAACTTATGCTTGATAGAAAGATTAGTTATTATTATAGTTGAAAAATGAGATGAAACTGAGTTCATTAAAGACGAAAAATGGCAACAAAGAAAGCATGCATTCCCTTCTATGTCTTACATCTATAGTCTTTTTGCCCTGGTGCATCTCTTTTACATTTCAGAAAAGTCTGGAATCTTGGATTACTAATTGGTGGAATATGAAAGAATCCGAAATTGTCTTGAATACTATTCAAGAAAAAAGTATTTTAAAGAATTGCTAGAGGTCGAGGAACTGTTCCTCTTGGATGAAATGCTAAAGGAATACCCGGAAACACGTTTACAAAACCTTCGTATCGAAATCTACAAAGAGACCATCCAATTGATCGAGACGAACAACCTAGATCGTATCCATACGATTTTCCATTTCTGTACAAATATAATCTGTTTCCTTATTCTAAGTGGTTATTCTATTCGAGGTAATCAAGAACTCATTATTCTTAACTCTTGGGTTCAAGAATTTCTATATAACTTAAGTGACACAATAAAAGCTTTTTCTATTCTTTTATTAACTGATTTTTGTATAGGATTCCATTCGACTCAGGGTTGGGAACTAATGATTGGGTCTGTCTATAAAGATTTTGGATTTACTCCGAATGATCAGATTCTATCTTGTCTTGTTTCGATTTTTCCAGTCATTTTAGATACTATTTTTAAATATTCTATTTTCCGTTATTTAAATCGTGTATCTCCGTCGCTTGTAGTCATTTATCATTCAATGAAGGAATGAAAAAACGACCCACTGATCCAATTCTAAAATTTGTTTTTTGTATAGAAAAGCTAAACATTTAAAATTGAACTTATTCGTTTTCGTTTTACTCGTATTCTTCCTATATTATAGGAAAAGAATTGGAGTAAATAGCAGAATCATGGATAGGGAACTGTGCCAGTAACCTACCTAATCTTATTGTAGAAATTTTCAGGATCAATGATTGGACCATGCAAACTAGAAATGCTTTTTCTTGGATAAAGAAAGAGATTACCCGATCCATTTCCGTATTGCTCATGATATATATAATAACTCGAGCACCCATTTCAAATGCATATCCTATTTTTGCCCAACAAGGTTATGAAAATCCTCGAGAAGCTACCGGCCGGATTGTATGTGCTAATTGCCATTTAGCTAATAAGCCCGTAGATATTGAGGTTCCACAAGCGATACTTCCCGATACAGTATTTGAAGCAGTTGTTCGAATTCCTTATGATATGCAAGTGAAACAAGTTCTTGCTAATGGTAAAAAGGGGGCTTTGAATGTGGGAGCTGTTCTTATTTTACCAGAGGGTTTTGAATTGGCCCCTCCTGATCGTCTTTCGCCCGAGATTAAAGAAAAGATAGGTAATTTGTCTTTTCAAAGCTATCGTCCCACAAAAAAAAATATTCTTGTGATAGGCCCCGTTCCTGGAAAAAAATATAGTGAAATTACCTTTCCTATTCTTTCTCCAGATCCCGCTACTAAGAGAGATGTTTACTTCTTAAAATATCCTATATACGTAGGCGGGAACAGGGGAAGGGGTCAGATTTATCCCGACGGAAGCAAGAGTAATAATAATGTTTATAATGCTACAGCAACGGGTGTAGTAAACAAAATAATACGAAAAGAAAAAGGTGGATACGAAATAACGATAGTAGATGCATCAGATGGACGTGAAGTGATTGATATTATACCGCCAGGACCAGAACTTCTTGTTTCAGAGGGTGAATCTATCAAACTTGATCAACCATTAACGAGTAATCCTAATGTGGGTGGATTTGGTCAGGGGGATGCAGAAATAGTGCTTCAAGATCCGTTACGTGTCCAAGGTCTCTTGCTCTTCTTGGCATCTATTATTTTGGCACAAATTTTTTTGGTTCTTAAAAAGAAACAATTTGAGAAGGTGCAATTGTCTGAAATGAATTTTTAGGAATGTCAATTTATCAACATATTAAGCTGGTAAAAAGAACTCCATTTTTGTTGATAAATTCTGTGTAAAGACCTTTGGTTCTTGGTTTTTTTTCAACTGCACAATTAATTCGAACCATATGATTATGTCGCTGATTATGTCGCTGTTTTCACATTTTCATGTCCTA